GTAATCGAGGGGGTTAGAGCGTCACGTATATAACGGCATAGCGCGCATATATGGTAATGAAAAGCATTGAATACTATTGTTTTTGTTCTAGAAAAAGGTGGTGTCTCCAAGTCAATTCGCTACGTGATGCTTTGATTTGAAAGATAAAATGGTACATGCGTTCTTTTGAGTTTCAAAGACAGCCCTCGACATCTATTGCCGGGAGGAGTTTGACAGACGCCAGGCCCTCATGGGCAGCGACTGCAGGTGCAGGACCTTGGGACGGATGTACAGCATGAAGGTGACGACGCCAAAGACGACGCAGATGATGTTGACGAAGTAGTATCCGTCGCGCACCATGTCGCACGTGCCGCCTCCCTTGACGCAGCGCTCCTTGTCCGGCTGGAGAGAGCACGAGAAGGGGTCGGTGACGACGGGACCCTTGAGGGCGTCGATGTCGGCGGGGTTACCGGGGTGGCACGTTGCGACGGTGAAGTAGTCGACGAGACGGAGAACGAAGAAGCGCGGGAAGGTGCCGCCAAGGTTGCAGACGCTGATGTATGTTAGTGTCAAGAAGACAAACGGATAGAGAGAAAACTTACGTGGCCAGCAGTGTCATGTAAGTGCCGCCAATGACGGGGTCTGCGATTCTAGCGTGGAACGCCGAGACGGCGACGAACATGACGGTGTTGGTGAAGGTCGAGAACACGTGCTCTCCAATGACAACAAGCATGTACCAAGAAGTCACGCCGCCGGCGGGGAAGATTGTGACGGTGAACTGTGCAATCAGAGCCGCGACGAGACGGCCCATGAAGCCCCAGCACCACAGACGCATCGGGGTGTACTCTTGCGACCACTTCCCGGCGTAGTACCCCAGCGCAATCTCAAAGGGAAAGTCGATCAGAACAGTCAGAGCCATGTTCTCCTGGCCAAAGCCCTTATCAATGAGCTTGAGGTTGGTGACGGCATCGTTAGCCTGGAAACCGATCTTGGCGATGAGATGGACGATGATGATGGTCTGGATGTTCTTGAGCTTGAGAACGCCCCACATGATCTTGTACACGTCCCAGATGCCGTCCTCGTTCTTGGTCTTCTCCTCGCGCTTGAACAGAGACAGGCCGATGGTAATGGCAATGTAGGCCCAGCCCCAGAAGGTAAGATAGCCGCCAAGGTTCATCAAGCCCGTGTCAAGCGGGGTGCTGCGGAAGTAGCGGTTGGCAAAGTCCTTGGAGTTGAACGCCAAGAACACCGTGTAGGACAGGAAGTGGCCGGCAGTCAGACCAACAGTTTGCGCAGTGGAAGCATACGAGACATTCCCGGGAGTCAGTAGAGTCAGGGCCCAGCCGTCTACGGCAATATCTTGAGTGGCGCACATAAACACCAAGAAGAACCACCACCCAGTGAAGTTCCACACAGTCGGGCCACCGGGCTTTCCAGTCGTAGCCATCATGTTCTCGACGGTCGAGCCGAGCCACAGCATTCCCAGACCAGAGAGCAGCTGGATGGGGAGAATCCAGCTCTTTCTGCGCCCAACCTTGGGGCTCCATACCGCATCGACGATCGGGCTCCACAGGAGCTTCAGCGAGTAGGGATACGACGCCAGACTGAAGATTCCAATCTCGCTGTATGACATGTGGTCCTTCATGAGGAACGGCACGGAGCCGCCAGCGAGACCCATGGGCACACCCTGCAAAAAGTACAGCAGCACCAACAGGAGAAAGTTGCGCTGGTCTTGCACGGGCAGCTCGAAGAAGCCATGGTTGTTCGCGATGGGCGTCTTGGGGACGGGGTCGTCGAGGGTGAAGGATTCGCGCGCCATGAGGTTCGCGGTGACGGTGTCGGAGCCGGGGGCTGTCGTCTTCCGCCGGTATTCAACGTTGTTCTGATTCATATCGCCGTTGGCGTGGCCGTTGGTGCCGTCTGTGTCGACGGCAAGATCGGCCAAAGCTTTGCGCTTCGTGGACTTGTTCCGGCGGGTTCGGACGCTCATTTGTGCTTGGTAATCGCGGATCTGCGGCGTAGTCGTAGGGTGGGGAGCAGCGTGGAGTAGTTGGAAAGAAACAGTAGTATGTAGAGGTTAGAAACAGAGGTTGGAAGACTTTGTGCGACAAGTCGAGAGTCGTGAGGACAAAAAGTTTGGGTTTCGAGGACGGATCGAGATAAGGTCGAAGGCGGGGTGGAGCAGAGTCCGTGGGAGTCAAGGCGACACTGCTTAAAAAGCAGCTGGAAACCAGTGACAAGCGGAAGAAGCGCTAAGCAGCGGGACGCGCAAAGTGTGTGCGGTCGGGTGTTGGTTTGGTAGGAGTGCGCGCGAGAAAGGCGATGTGTATGTGTCCCGGGACGAGTGGACGGGAAGCGCAACCGTGGCCTTTGACACTTTTTGGGGAAAAGGCTGTGGCAACAACAATGAATGAATAATGGTCGGCGGGCCGCTTTATTAGGCTCCAGTAAATGACTGTAAGAAGGTTTTTCAATGAGGAGAAATAATATGACAGAAAAAAAAGAGACCCAAGTCCAAGTGGACTGAGACGCGGAGAGGATTTACCGAAGCAGAGCAAGAAGGCGAAGGTGCTGTGTTCTTGATTGCGACGATACTTGGCGAACAGAGAAGAAAGAGACGGGACGGGGGAGCAGGCGCAGCAAAGAAGCTTATCCTCGTCCACCTCAGTTCCAGTCGCCGACTCACTCCACTCCGCTGCTGGAAAGCCACCCGAAGGGAGCTGCCTTGGGGGACCCCTGGCGCCATGCCTAAAATGGAGAACTGGCGGGCTGATAAGATACCAGATTAGATAAGCCCCCGCAGGTCAGAGGTCGTATTCCACCACGGCACGATGGCCCGGTCGGATGATGTTTTGTTGATTTGCGCTTCTCGGCAACGAATGTCTACTTCTCAGACGCGTCGCCGCATAGAACGCCTTCAATCGCGTCATTGTGACCACCACGCATTGAAGCTTGTCTCAAGAAATCATCACACATTGTCTTCAACAGAGATCAGCGAGCGCCATGTCGGCTGAACCGCAACCGCAAGACGCGGTTGCCGAGGCCCTCAACCAAGAGATCAAAGACCTCAAAGCCAGACGTAGGTTGCATGTCGAATTGCTCCGTGTAAGCTGCTAACTCACAATGCGACAGTCAAATCTTTGAAAAAGGACGTTAAAATCCAGGCGACGGCTTTGATGTCGTCTGAGTCGACGCGACAAGCCCTCAAAGAAGCCGACCACAATCGCGGCGCGCTGGCGCTGCCCTCCAAATCGAAACCGGACCGCGAAGAGATCATCTCCCGATCGAAAGCCCAAGACGCGCACGACCAGCAATGCCTCTACCGCACATGCGCAACCGTCACGACCTTCAAGGTCCAAGATCCCGACCCGAACGCCGTCGACCACGGCAACGTCCTCGGCATCCGCATCGAGCTCATGGCCGACGCGCGCTTCCGAAGACCATTCTACGTAATGCTCAACCGGCCGTACAAGGACTCGCGGCACCTGCGAGTGCACCGCCATACCGTCCCCGTCTGCATACCGCTCTCAGGACTCGCTGCGCGACACTTGCCCCCTCCGAGACCAGCCGATGCCGAGCGGCAGACGACGCAGGACCTGTCGCGCTTTGTCCGGACGCTGAGGAGGGAGATTGTCCGTTACCACAATCGTATTGCTGTCATTGGCGACCTGCAAAGAGCGGCCGGGCTACGCGGCGGTCCACGAGAGGACGAGTCGGAGCAGGCTGTGGTCAGTATCAGTGCAGCAGATGGCGAAGGGAAGCAGATCAGCCTTGAGTGGGCCGACGGCAGATCGGGCAGATTGGTCATGAGCGAGGATGGGCAAATCCAAAAAGTTGTCGTTCTCGGCAGCGGTGGAAGAGACCGAGAGATCACGCGAGAGTTGCTTGGAGAGAGCCGTCGCGTCGAAGACGTCGCCAAGTGTCTGACACGCACATGAGACCAGGACAGGAAGTGGATATTGTCAATACCGGTCTCTCAAAGCGCAGACTTGATTGTTCGATCAGGGCGGGCTTGTCGATGATATCTGCAAACATCGATACACAGAAACGAGATGTCTGCGAACTCCAAGACCACCGACACCGTGGCCAACGATAGGGGCTTGTCACGAGATACTCCGACCCTTCAAGAACCGCATGGAACCCCAATATTACAGATGAGGTGCAGCAATCAACGAAGAGAACACTGCAAACTATAATCGCAAAGCTCTATCAGTCTAGGCGAAGCCCGACCCCGACTCACGTTGTCTCCGGATCGTCCGGGCCACGCTCTGACACAAATATAAGCATATTGACCATAATCTGCAGCGCTATGCAGCCAACTCGGTCCTCTCCGGCCGCAAAACCTTGGGGATTCCCAATTAAGACCAGGTTCCCACGAGTTCGGACGGAGCAGATCGCGCGGGGGAAATGAGCTACCCAATATGTCGATCCCCCAGACTCTTCAGACGAGCTTTCGGCCGATCGCAACCTCCAACGGCAAAAGAGAAACCTGGGGAAATTTCACCGCCATTCGCCATCGGGGACACCACGGAGATGAGACAGCTCCTTCGAAGACTTCGCAAGGGAACGGCGCCGCCACAAGACCGTTTGAAAAGTCAGTGCGAGATTTGGAGTCACCGTTGAGTTACGCTAAAGCAAATCGTCGCGGAGAAGCAGAGAGAAGTTGTAAAAAAAGAACCAGAACCCATTATATTAGCCTTAAACTAATTAAGTTGGGTGTTTAGACGCCAGAGTGCCCCCCATTCCCCCCCTCCGCGCTTCTCTCAGCGTGAAAGTCCCAGAGGAAGAAAGAGCCAACCCAACCCGTCCAAGTTAACCCCGTTTGTCATTCCCAAAGTTAATTCCCATTTCCCCATGTGTCCCGTTTGCCTTTGATATCATTGATGTGTGTGTCCGCATGAGAAAACCCTTTACCCCGTCTATACACCCCCTTTGAATTGAACAAGAAAAAAACAGCCAAAAATCTCATAAAAAGTTGTGCAAGTCTAAGTGTGTGATTATTGCAGGTTTTTGTGTGTTGTTCAGATGAAGGCGGCGGCAGCGGCGACGGCGGCGAGGACCACGCCGCCGGCGCGCTGGGCGTTGGGAGCAGCGGCGGCGGTGACGACGGCGCGGCTGGTGGTGGCCGTGGGGTTGGGCTTGGTGACGGTGCCGATGTCGGCGGGCTTGGTGGTGGTGGCGGCCGGGGGCGCGGCGGGAGGAGCAGATACCGGGGGAATGACGACGGAGGAGAGGGTAGCCGGGGGAGCGGGCGCGCTGGGGGCGGGCTGCTCGACGGCGGTGGTAGGGGCCGCGGGGGGAGCGGCGGGGGGCGCGGAGGGGGCCGGGGCCGGGTTGACGGGGACGGGGCAGATGGTCACGACGGCGGGGACGGTGACGGTCTTGTAGGCGGTGCCGCCGTTGCCGCCGCCGTTGCCGGGGCAGTTGGTGACCTCGGGGGCGCAGGAGATGACGGTGTGGACGGCGGTCTGGGTGATGGTGGAGGTGGTCCACTTCCACTGCGGGGTGGTGGTGGGCTCGGGCTGCTCCGGCTCGTCGGGGGTGTCGGTGGGCTGGGGCGGCGTCTCGGTCTTCTCGGGCTTGTCGTGGTCCTTGGTCTTGTCGCCGCCCTTGTCGCCGCACTTGCCGTCCTTGTCGCACTTGTCGCCGCCCTTGTCGCCGCCCTTATCTCCGCCCTTGTCGCCGCCCTTGTCGCCGCAGTTGTTGCCGTCCTTGTCACACTTGCCGTGGCCGGGCTTGCCCCACTTGGGCTTTCCGGGGTGGACCCAGTGCCAGCCGTGCTCCTTGTCGGAGTCGCAGTCGTCGATGTAGACGTCCGGGTGGGGAGGGTGCCAGACGGAGATGCAGTCGGCCGGGGGCGCCGAGATGGGGCCGAAGGTCTTGACGCTGAAGTCCGCGCTGCCGGTCAGGCCGAGGGGCTCGATGCCGGGGGGGTAGCTGAACTTGCCGTCCCAGGTGGCCTGGGCGACGACGGCGAAGCTGAGGGCTGCGATGGTAGAGTAACGCATTGTGATGTGTGTGTGGATGTTTGTGTATAGGGGTATGTATGAGAATAAACCTCGAAAGAGAGTGACGAGGGGTGTTCTATGAAGGAGTGATAGAAGGAGAGGGGGAAAGAGTTGGTATTGCAGATTATTAGTGAGTGTAAGGGTATCAGAGATACTGAAGAGAGGAGGTAGGGAAAGAGAGCAGAACAAACAGGGTGAAGAGCCGTCCTTTTGAATCTTTTCCCTCCTCCCCGTCGTACATACGCTGAAAGGGGAATAATGACGATGTAAGCCGGGAGAAGGCCGCCCCTTCCTCGAATAGACTCGTGGGGCCCAGGCTGAGTCGCGCCCATGATGGCCTAGTTCGATTTCATCATGTCATTTCTTCCGCCATAGAGAGTGCTGCTAAGGCTACGAGGGGCTGCGGACATGGGGCTTCAGAAAGAAAGATACTACCTAACCCGCAGCCCTCCATCGGTATCCTAAGATCGACGCGATTGGACCAAACGGTTCGTGGGTGCTAGTCGATCATCCAGGGGCGAGAGAGGGGACGTGATCACAAGGAACGTCCTAGATAGAGTGTGGCCTGGCTGAAATTGCGTTGGACTCAATTTGGGACGACAGGTACGGATACGGGTGAGGAGGTGGTCGAGCACGACGTTGGGCTAAACGCCATTTGGGTGTGCCGGGGAAGGGCCGGTCTAGTTGCGCCAGGGCTATTTCTCCATTCTCTCCTCGGAAGGAAAAAGAAAGAAGGCCACTAGTAGGCGAAAGCTGGGGGATGGGCGCAGCCATTGTTGTTGCGCATGGTCGTGATGCAGGGACGGTGCTGGGCCCTCTGTCGGCAGATTGGACGTGATCCCTGCGCGGGAAAAAGTAGTGGTAGTCTAACTAACAGGAACAGCAGAGAGAGAGAGAGAGAGAGAGAGAGAGAGCCCAGTAGCCAACCAACAGCTTCCGGATTCGCCCAGGTGCGGGTGGGCGATGTCACGTCGTCCGACAAACCAGGAGGTACCAGGAGGCGCGCTAAAGTGGCGCGGGTTGGTTCCTTGCAGCAAGGTGGTGAGCTTAAAGAGACTTCGACTAAGTATGGGACCCGGTGCCCCCCTCCATTACTACGGTATGTGAGGCAGCACAGCCCATCATCCGAACTTTCGAAACACCACAGGCCCCTCTCCCATGATTTTGGCCAATTTCCAAGGTCAAAGCAGCCAGGGACGTTCTGGGAAACTTCCTGTCACCCCTTTTTTCTTTCTTTTCGCGAACTCCGAAGTTTGTGATGGAGGGTTGGATGATGTCAAGAGTGGTGGCCTCACGGCCCCGATGGGATATCGCTAGTTCTCATAGGGCCCATAGGAGGGCGATGACCTCTTGCTTAGCATCAGCGCTTAATGGACTGCAAATTTCGCCGGGCGATCTTTCGATAGTACTCTGTTGACGTGGGAAAGGTTCATGCGAATCCTCATTTATGCGGCAGAACAGGCAAGACAGACAGAAGCAAAGTTCGAAAGTTCACTTTGTTTCTTCAGATTAGGGGCATTGCTGCTTTCGTTCCTCTGCATCTCGAAACTATTTGGTTTCCTGTCAGCGACGCTGACATGCGGCATGACCACATTTCATCCAAACATTCCCTTGGCTTGCAGGATTCACCCGAAGAAGCCTAACCTAGCAGGCCTCTTTCAAAAATAGGAAATGCAGCGAAGAGAACGAGAAAGCCACCCGAGCCATGGGACACCTCGTTTCGTGGGCTGGCTTGACGCCACAGCCGTTGCGCTTGCGGCTGGACTAAGAGGCCACCACTCGCCACACCTGAGACGAGAAAGTGTGTTTTTCCTGCGAAGGGACCCCCTCTCGTGAGTCCGATTTAACTCGGCTCTAGCCGTAAAGAGAGGGATTCCTCGTCTTCTGGGGAGATCAAAGAGCCGAGTCATAACACACCCGTAATATTACGGCAATTTGTTCAGCTATGGGCGGTTAGCATCATGGGTTCCCACCTTGCATAGCCATCCAAAGACAACTTACTAGAAACTGCATCGATCTTTTGTGTGTGCATCCTGGAGCGATGTGCTCCTGTAGGGCCAGCGGCGCCGTAGCTGAGATCTCGCATACAGAGACCCGCTCGGCCCGATGCCTCATTCGCATGAAGGCTGGATGGGGAATAGAAGGCGATGTTGGGTGCCCGTGCTCCTGAGCAGACGCTAGCAAAGAAAACTTCACCAGTCCAGCGCCTTCTTCGTCTGCGGTACCACAGAGCTCGGCACCCGCTCCGGGCTGGGCTGTCTCTCGTGGTCTTCTGCGTCGCCGATGGCATTGAGTTCGATGCCCCATCGCTCAATCTCGGCATCTACGGCCTTTGTCCACTTCTGAATGAGGGGATGGGCACGAGCCACGTCGGAGAAGAGAATTTCTTCATCGCTCGATGACGATGATTTCTCGACGTGGAACTTCCAGGTGCCGTCGGTATTCCAGAAGGCAGGCGTAAAGATCGAGTCAGTCTTGAGCTCAGCTTTGGCCTCGTCGAGGGCCCGTCGCGCATCCTTCGCGACGGCCTCATCTCCCTGGCCGCCATCATCTAAGGCGTGGGCGATTCCTTCGAGCTGGCCCAGGAGCTGGCCCGCGAGGGACCCGATCTCGGCGCCCAGGCTGAAGCCCTCGTCGAAGCCTGCCTGGATGCTCGTGGCCTTGGCGGCGGTGACGCCCTCGCGGTAGCCGGCGGTCGTGTGTTCGGCCTGCAGCCTTGGCATGTCTGACGGGTGCGCGCCCGCGGGTGCGTCGAGGGCCACGATGGTTGGCGAGCCTGGCGCGGAGCCCCAGACGTCGTCGAAGGGGTCCTGCTGCGCTTCCATGGCGGGGTTGAGCCGGGGGTCGGGATCCATGGCGATGGTGAAGGGCTCTATTTCCGTGTTGTCGATGGGTTGGAGATGCATTTTGGGAGACGGTGAGGCGGAAAGGCTGGGAGATCCTGTTTTGTGGTCTCCTGTGCGAATGGCCTCAGTGGCGGAAAAATGCGAGATGGTGAGTTTGGGAAAAGTCTTGGGTGAAAAATTGAAGCTTGATTTGTCAAGCATCCCCCGCACCACATTTTTGCGTCACTTCGCACTGTCTGTTGGTCACCAAACTCAGTTTACGCTACTGTATGGACGACTGTGTGCACTGTATGACTGATCATGTTTCTCGCCTTCACCGTGGTGAACCATCTTTCTCTCATCACTGCTTATTCTCAACATCGTCAGCTTCACATTGCACCTCCGATATATCACCACTCTATTAACGTTGCTGCGCGGCGCCAAATGCGGCTCGAGATGGACCGTTTCTCTATCTGCGGCGCACCCATGTGCGGTTCACATAGAGTGGCTGCAACCGACTGACTGGCGATGAAACAACCCTCACCGTAAAGTGGGAGATAACTTGGCGACCACCAAAATTAGCATCCCGCAGAAAGGCGAAGACGATGACGGATATCGTCTGAATTCCATCTGTTCTACCCTGCGTACGCGTGTGCGATCAAGCATTTCATCCCATCTCATCGGAGCAGGTCGCACGTCACTGCCCAGGTCCTTCAGCTGTGCTCAGCGCATCGTCATTCAGTGGCTTTTTCGGTCACATTGGCAATCAATCGCAGCTAGCCTCAGAGCTTATTCAATCTTTTGTATTGGTATGTAAATGTGACATGCTAATCGCTCAAACAAAGTCTATCTTGCCGTGGTATATCCGCCCAATGTCTACGCCGTATCCAAAACAACAACCTCGGCATCGGCCTCTCCAATGCTCTCCACATTCAACTTGTCGCCTGCATTGACCGCATCCACGAATGCACCGTCACCCTCCGACAGGACGGCGTCATCGCGACCGTCGATGCGAATCTTGGCCTTGCCGCCCTTGGTCATCGGCAAGTGAACGAATACCTTGCGCTTCGTCTGCTGCGTGACCTTGGCGCCGACGTTCCACTCAAAAGCCTTGTTGGGCTCAATAATACCAGCGCCCATGACGAAGTCCGCGTGGATCGGGATGGTGTCCGGGATAGACGGCTCCGCCGCCTTCTCCTCCGCAAGCGTGGCCTCCGGGCCGGCCTTCAGCGGCGAGAGAATCTTCACAAAGCCCTTGCGCTTCTCCTCCTCGGCGAAGTGGCGGGTGTGGTACGTAGGCGGCAGCCCGCGCTTCCACGGGATGGCCCAGATCTGCAGGAAGTGCACCGTGTCGCGGGCGTGCTCGTTCATCTCGGAGTGCGCGATGCCGGTGCCGCCTGTGGTGAACTGGACGTCGCCGCGGTGCATGCGGTAGAACTTGTCGCTCTGGGCGCCCTCGCTGCCCTTCTGCAGCATGGAGTCGCGGTGCGTCAGCTCGCCCGAGAGGATGTAGCTGAAGATCTCAAAGTCGCGGTGCGGGTGCGTCGGGAAGCCGCTGTTGGCCTTGACGCGGTCCTCGTTGAGCACGCGAAGGGCGCCGAAGTTGTTGAAGCGCGGGTCGTACCAGTCGGCGAAGGAGAAGCTGTGGTAGGTGTTGAGCCACCCATGGTCGGAGTGGCCGCGAGTGCCGCTCCGGTGCGGGGTGATCTTTGCGTGGTGGAGGGTCTTGGACATTGTGTTCTTGACTGCGTTGAGCATAGACTCTGGCTCTGGAGATGTGATGTTGGCAGTGGTGTTCGTCTTGAGAAGTGGGGCTGTAAGATCGGTGATGAAGCTCTTGAGTTGAGCGTTGAAGATGATGATGGAAATGAAAACAGCGAAAATCGCAGTGAGTGTCGCGAGGCGAGGCATATATACTTGTGTTTCTGTTCGGATCTTCGCGATATGGAGAAGCTAGCAGGAGCGAGAATCAACTTGGAAATTGGTTTGAAATACTTGTTCAGCATTTGCAAATCTCATCTGCCGCTTATATCTGTTGCCAGTACCGGCGCAGGCTACCTACTGTAGGGGTCTTACACATGCTCCCCGCGAAGCTGTCTAAGCACTTACCTAAGGCGGCAACGCACGGGGCAGCGGGGCGGTTGGCTGCAGGTGGTGATTCGATAGAAATTTTCGCAGTTGGACCGCTGAGAATTGGATTATTCATGCTGACAGCACAGCTTCCAGAAGCCCACCATGCCGGTTCGGCCCCTCACCGAAGTGGGGCATCCGATGTACCACCGGCGACGTGACGCAATGCCGCCGCCGGTTGGCGATGCCGGTGCCGCCGACACTCGCGGCATTCGCACAAAGCTATCACGGGGGACTTTGTGGTCAGATCTCCTAGTTTTGTGAATTTCTTAGGCTCACCTAGCTAATCTCTCTGATCAGTTAGATTGGCTGGCCAAGGTAGTGACCTGGGAGGACGTCATACGAATTCAACGAGAGCATATAGTAGATGCGACGATGGCAATGAAGACGACAGTGCCACAGTATAGTCTAAATTAGGCTTGTTTTAGAGGGCGGGTGCCTGAGTTGCTTGTGTGGGCGCGGCTATATATCCTGTGCATATGATTACTCCTACCGAAGACGATAGTAGCGGCAGCGATAGCGATAGCGACGACGAAGACGACTATAATAACAATAACGACGGCGACGACACAAGCAACGATAATAGAAGCGACGACGACGGTAAGTTAGAGTATAGCCACAGGAAAATGAGTCGCTCTAGCATGGGAAAATTAGGCGGTCTCGTTCTTCATAGTGAACGCTTCTGTCAATTTCTAAAGCACCTACATGACAAAGCAAAATTAAAACTGCTAATAGGGCAATCTAGCACAAGGCGCTCCCCATCCACGGAGTATTAAGATCAATCGGGCTACCGGCGGCTTCGGTAACCATACATACCGTGGATATCCACGAGTAGACGCTTTTTGACTCAATGCTCGACACATGGATGTTCGCCTATTGCCTTCAGAGTATTTGTAGTAGCCATCCGCTTGGAATACATTGTCTGACACCGACCCGGTGCGTGAACTTCTGTGCCTTGCCTTCTGATGTCGTATTACGCGGTACCAAACGCTTCAGAATACACACCCGTATTAACCAGCTCAATCCCCTCGTTGTCAATGATGCTCCTTTCCAGATTCTGCAACGCCTCCCCGCCATCCGGCATGGATCGTACGTAGTCGTCCAGACAGAGAATGATTTCCCTCATTTTGCGGCTGTATTTGTTGAATGGCGGACGGCGATCATGGAGTATTCTGGCTAGCAGACGTGTCGTCCAACCTTCCTGACATCTCAAACTGAGATCCAGTCCTTCCACCTGGAGTAATGTTTTCACAACGTCTACTTGAAAACATTCCACTGCAGTCGAAAGAGCTGTTGCGCCATTTGTGCTTGATGTCAAGTTGACATCCGCCTTTCTTGAGAGTAAGGTTCTCACAATGTCGAGCTGGCCTCTTTCTACAGCTCGTATGAGAAGTGTGGAGCGGCATTTGTCGCGAGGTGGAGTTCTCCCTGCGAACTTGAACTCGTAATTTACATCTAGTCGTCCAGCATCGAGCAGATATTCGAACACCCTGTTTGCCCCGGAGTTAAGAGCGACATCGAATGGGCTTTCTTCCTGTATTTCTGAGCTCGACATGCCAAGCTCAGCATCCCCTTTCTCGTGGAGGATTCTAAAGAGTGATAAGTCGTTTGTCATTGCAGCAGATGAGACAAGCTCCGGATTCAAGTGGTTTTCACGTATGTTGTCGACAGTTAGCAGCAAACTGACCACATCTGCGCAGCCTTTCTTGACTGCAACGGCAAGAAGGGTCTCGCCCCTTTTGTTTCGCGCATTCGTATCAATATTGTCAGTTGCTAGAAGCATCTCAACAATTTTGAAGCTCGTGTTCTCCAATGCTGAAAACAGTGGCGTGTTTCCGTCACAATCTTGTGAGTTCACGTCGACTTCACCAGTGTCCAAAAGCAACTTCGCGACATCTACATGTCCATGAGCTGCTGCGCATGAAAGTGGCGTGCTTCCGATTCGATCTTGTGAGTTCAGATAGACTTTATCAGTTTCCAACAGCATACTTACGATGTCCGCGTATCCATGTCTTATTGTCTCCATGAGGTCCTCGACATTCAGTTCTATCTTGCCAGATTCGAGAATTATCTTCACCGTTGTTTGGCGCCCCCTCTTTGATGCTAGTCGAAGAGCATCTTGACGATAGGTTTGAAATTTCCATCTCTTTGGTTTCCTGAGAAATGTCGTGTTGCCATTGGCTTCGCTGGAAAGGAGCAATCTGACGATCGAATCGTGTCCTCCTTCCACGGCACCCATCAGTGCAGTTCTCGCGTCTTGCTCATGGACATCTCTCCTGCCATTTCTCAGAACTGTTTCCACAACGGAATCCAAGCCGTTGTTGGATGCGATTATCAGAGTCTCGCCAGTACTAAGGTGTTCGAGATCTGTGGGCACCCGGTGTTTACTTCTCCTCTTGAAAATCATTTTAACGATGTTATGGGAGCCAGAAGTAGTAGCACGGAACAGCGGGGTCCGGGAACCGGAGCTCTGTTCTGCCGGAAGCGTAGATACGCTTTCTGCAAGTACCGCCTTAATCACACAACCGATGCCGAGATGTGAAGCCAATTTGTGCGGGCTGGGATAGGCACCGAGACGTGGGTCTTCGAAGCACTCATAGTAAAGGTACCAATTCATGAAGCCCCTCCATTTTGTGTCGCAAAGTTTGCATATCTCGCGGCTTAGGTTCGAGTTTTCTTCCACCTTCGATGGTCGACAGTGAGAAGCCCAGTGCCTTGCGGCGTAGTCAAACAGCACATGTCGTTTTGCAAAGGAAGCTAGTGTTTTTGGGTCATTCCGTATCACCGGAGGACACTGGTGACCAATGTTGAGAAGGTACCAGACACAAATCCTTGCAATGATTCGGTTTGACTCCTTTGAGTTCAAACATGCCTCCCATTCGAGACGACGCCCATGCGGAACATCCCGAGTGAGAAATTCTCTTGCCGTTTGATGTATCAAGTGGACGTTTTTCTGAATAACGACCACAAACAGCCCACATATGTTTCTCATGCCTTCGACAAATGCATCAGTTCTCATGACAGAGAATTCACCTTCGAATGATTGATGGCCGTTGACAGCCATGGCCATGGCCATCTCTTCCACTGATAAGGGTCTTGCAGCAGCGACAACAATATGCAATATTGTCCTAGCTACTTGAACATCTGCGCTTTGACGCAGGATCTTGTCATACGCATCTTCGACCGTTTCGGGAAGACGGTCAAGGAACCCTTCTAGACTGTTGCTTTCGACACGTTCGAGGGTTTCAAGCATGTCACAAATGACATGAATCCAGAGATACGTTCTGTTTCTCACCTTCGTGAGTCTTTGAACAACTTTCTCGTACTCCTCTTTGCTGAGTCTTGATTCCTGTAACAGGGCTTTCACCTTTTGTCTTATGACGATGTCGATTTCCGTTGAGATCTTGCCGATTTCGATTTCGTCTTCTCCACGGAGGTTAATGTGGGGTATTCGACCTTTTCGTATTGCTCTTCGAATTTGGCTATAAGGCCGGCTGAACAAGATGAAACGCATGTTAATCTTGCCGTTTTCGTAAAGATCGCCGAGTGCCTTTGCCATCCTCGACCATCCTGAAGCCTCGCATTCGTCCAAACCGTCCATGATACAGATAGTGTTGACGGCATGGGTAGATATCTGAGTGAAGATATCCCAGAGGCTGCTGAAAGCTGCAAACCTTTTCGGGCCGAGTTCTTCAAAAGACTTGAGCACTTCATCTGTGAACAGACTGGAGTCTCCTTTCAAAAGTTGATGTATCAAACACTTCAATGCGCTTTCTGCATTGTCTTGATCGTCCAAACCATCTTTGAAAAAGAAGTAGATAACTCTTGACGTCTTCAGTTCGCGATCGATCATGTGTTTTGCCAGAACGGACTTGCCGCAGCCAGGGTCTGCAGAGACCCAGAGAAACCTCTCTATCGGGCTGGCGATCCAGCTTTGGAAGGTTGGGTGCTTGGTGAACCACGCGCATGTTTTGGGCATAGCCTCAGGGTTCCGATCCTTATGATCCTCGTAAGAAGAGCAGTTGAGATCGCGCAAAACCTCTCGTCTTTTCTGGGCTGTAGGCGGAGATTTGTTAGCATTGTTGACTGCGAAGTTAGGTGCTTGGAGCACATTATTGATCACGACGTGCATTAGAGATTCCTCAGCCGGCAGTGTGTACTAGTGGTGATGAATCTGAATTTCTACTGACCTAATGTCGGCCCAAAATGGGCGTCTCCGCTAATGTTGTTGATGTTTCCAGAACCAAAATTGTTCCACGTCGTGGTGTAGTCGCCGACTTGATTCAACATAGGTCCTTGCCCCCCATGAGAGATGCTGACCCTGGTGCCACCTTCCAGCAGCTCATCTGGGACCGATTTCCTGACCTCCCCAACTTTCTCAATGGCTTCCTTCAGCCTGTCGAGTTGCTCCGAGCTTGCCGATTTAATTGCATGGTGACTCGCCAGTGTGTAAATATCCTGAAAAATCTTCTTCAAGAGGTCTTCGACACGTCCTTTCTTGCCGCGACTCTTGATCAGAGACATGTATCTGTCCACTTGCTGATTCCATGCCAATGTAGTTTCTCCGGGGTCAAGCTTCTCCAATGTTGTCTTCAGAGCCTCGGCGTTCCCTTTGCAAGACTTGACGATGGGGAGGACCGCCATAGCGGCCTCTTCCAAGGCCTCTCGAGATCGATCCTCGACATCGCGGAGGATTTGTTGAGCAAGCGGCACTCTAAGCGCGACTTCGGAAAACGCTTCGGGTAGCCCCTTTATCGACTTGAGTTTTTGGTAGGCCAACTCTGCCCCTGCCAGTATGCCTACGACGCTGCCCACAATTCCTATGACTTCGGCCATCGTGGCTTTGATCCTGGGAAGGCTGGGGACTGCTAGCGGAGAAGGCTGGGCAGGAATGCGATAGAAGTTCGCCAAGAAGAAATTATGGTGGCTGCTCTTGATGAAAAAGTCCGATTCATGCCTTGAGCTGAAAGCTCAGGGGGCAGTCGCGAAATCTAATGGATCACCGCTCGTGATCGGCGTCGTGGAGGACCATACCACGATGCGCGAATATCGGGGACGAATGTTGGTAAGAAAACGAACAGTGAGGGGGAACAGAATCAGGCTGGCAGGATGTTTCACAGTCAGAATCTTCTTGAACAGCCGATCTATCCTGAAAGCTCGTACAGATGTTGATTGGTGTAATTGATGTATCTTAGTGCGCCAAGGCGGCGTGACCACCCATGTCCCGATCCAATGAAAATACGGCTCGCTTCTACGGGCTCTGTGTTCGTGAGAGATCCTTCTTCTGATGATTTTCAAACTTATTTTGACCTATCAAGTGATAGTTCTATCATCCCACAGCCCGCAATAATAGAGGATCGTGATGAGTATTATCCATAACCTCAATCATTTGGAGCGCCATAATCTCTGGGAACCCGTGGCGCCACACATGAGTAGGTATCCCAAACTTGCTTGCTAGATGCAGCGTAGCTGGTTCAGCAGATGGCTGCTGTGATGCCAGAAAGAGATCGTGGTGCACATTGAGGAAAGTGCAGTGCGAGAGAATCACAAGCTGCCTCTTCTCCTTGTCGAATCTGTAGGTGGCATTGTTGGCCCTGTTTGCGGTTCACACCTCGATGCAATTGCTTTCAAGCTTGTCAGCCGTGTGAGCATTGCCCGCCTTGATGCGTTTGCCGTCGAATATGACCCTAACGAGGCCAGCATAGGTGCCTTCAACCTCGGCCAGCAGCTGTTCCCAGTTAATAGATCGTATCTCGGGCTGTTTGAGGTGAGGGCCAAAGGTCACAATTGTTCCCAGGGCACCCTGCTGTCTCCGTACCGCATTATTCCAGTGGCTTCTTTCCGGTAGTCCAAAGTTTCTCTCTTTTTGGGTTGGCTCGTGACGGAAGTCATGATTCGGGGTACACTCCAGCCCCCGCGCGGCTGCTTTTGGGCAAGGGCAGGCAGTCCTCACTGTCCCTTTTGAGTTGATTGACAGATGCTGGTGATTTAAGATGTTGATCTTGGCCTATGTATGTTTCTGCCTCTGGGTATTCCCAATCGGCCTGTTGGCGGCCTACGCATTTTGTGCCTCAACGAAGACATGGGGCTCGCTGCGCCCCATCTTTGAGCTTACGCGGTCATCATCTCGCGAAGATTTCGAGAGGTTGTCCTTTTTGGAGACAACGAGGGAGACGAGCCCGAGTTCTATGAAGGCGGGGAGGAAATAGACGGCACGACCGATATCGAAACTTTCGTTGTAGACTACAAGAGCCCAGGTCAGAGTCGGCACTACGATTGTGACTATGCTGGGAATTGTTCTTCTACGTCGCGAGTAAGTATTAGGGCATGCCACGGCGAGATCTAGCAATTGGGGAGGATTTACCTCAGCAGGAATGCCTGGTGATAGAAGAAAAGCCCTATAGTGATGAACGTCCAAAGCAAAAGGCAACTAAACAGAGAAATTAGCAGAGAACCAACATCAAACCAAGGGCTATCATGACGAACACGAGAGACACAGGTGACGCCCAAGCGTGCCTCCTTTCTTGGGTCGCAAAAGTGGCAGTGATGACTGCGATGATTGATTTGAGTTGGAAGATTACTCCACCTGCAGACATCGTACAGGTACAGTCTCTGCGTTGCAGAGCCAGATCGTGAACTGGCAAATTAGGGTGATATGGGGCAAGCGTAGGTGACGGCGGAAGATGACAAGGCTTGTTAAGACTAAACTCGGATGCCATCGATGGTGGTCTTTCTCAAATGATGTATCACAACAAATAGTCAGACGTGGGTGGGCGAGAGAAAAGAGTTGATCGAACAGTGTTGATGTGTGAAGATTGCGAGAAACTGCTGCGACGGTAAGCGGGCGTGATGATAACGGTCTTGGGGTTGAAGCAGAAAACCGGGTAGGATTTCGCGCGTCAACGGTAATCGGACAAAGGCTAGCTCGTCAATTTCTCGTCTTCGCATCGTAAGTTCGCCCGGGTTCGCCTTGAAAATGGGAAACGCCGAGGGAATCCCGCATGCCTCGCCACACAACTGCAGCAACATTGCGTATTTGATTGACTTCTGAGTGGACGCCATCACAGAATTCGCGGCGAATCAAAGGTGAGAGTGTTTGAGGCGCGATTTTCGGGCAACACTCTCCCCTGCTACTTGCACATCTTGGCAGCCTGAACGGGACGCCCAGTCCAGTCACTGTGGTTCTTTGCGCCAACCTGAAAGGAGTGGGAGGCATGTTCCCAAACTCGCGATCTCAGCTGTTTGATTAAACCTCCATCATCTTACTTCCCGTGTCTTCTGTCATACCATACTCATTTAGAACCGTACGCAACGATATTTCCCAACAGACATAACAAGAGCATTTTCATTAGATCCCATGCCATTTTGACGCCGACCAGACTTGCCATGCATGAAAGGACTCTCCACGGCTCTGCCAGTGATGACGGAAAAGCCACCCATCCACCGACGGAAGATCGAATGCTACAGAGCTGTCGCAAACCCCATGATGGCAAGGATTCGCGAAACATTCACCTCGATGAAAACGACAGCCAGCACCTTGTCTCTTGGAGACCATCCATATTTCTCCGACTTCTCCTTGCGTGGCTCATGGTATTCGGGATTCTCATCACCGCCAGGAACTTTTCAGCGGATGGGTTGAAAAACTGGATATACTACTTCCCCGTACGGGACACCGCCTTGCCACCAATCCATTGCGTTCGCTGACTCTGAAAACATAGACATGCGACCCGACAGAATGGCGACGAACCCCTCCACACCGATTCAGATTCCTACCAAGTAACCCATCATGCGAATTGCAGATTGCGCAACTGGTTGCTTTTGAGATATTCTTCTGGGCCAATGCTTCCAGCTTGCTTTGGAATACGACCTTTGGGCAAAGACATGTGAAATGGGTATTTGGAGTAACCATTGTGGGAACTGGTCTGACGATCGTGCGAATCCAAGATCCATCCCCAGCTCTGCTGTTGGTCATGCCGTTTATCCTAAGTGTCTGCTCCTCCATTGGCTTCGTCATAGATGTCGGAAGATAGAGTCCCTGCTTCGGCGATAGGTCATCATGAGAAGGTTGAAAGTCGGTTGTGAGGTCTTCGAAAAGATCACCGGAACCTGATACCCCAGTTTCTACAGAATTGTCATGATGAGGTTTATGTGGTGATTCCAAATGGCAGAAGTATCTGAACTGTAAATGATGACAATAACCCAAAAGATATGTAGACACGCATTTTACAGACAGGCAACGGACTTTTCTGGCAAACCCACTGTGCTGTTTGTGTTTTATAATGTCACTTCTTACCAGATATGATGCAATTCTCAAGTTGTAGATACTCTCTTGGTGAAGCACTTCACTCGAATGACGGAAGTCATTGTGTCTAAGACTCTGATGAGGTATGAGGAAGAGAGGCAATCATCAAGTCAAGCCCCTGAACTACACGACCGATCAGCACATAGAACATGGGGCCTCAGGAGTCTCCTTTCAGCCAGATCTCAAGGCAATCACAGAATCCAGGCCACATATCCAATTCTATCTGTTCCCACTAGACTCACCAGTCCGCCGCCCGGTATCTAGACCGCGTCTTGATTGACAAGCATCAACTCATACCTAGAAGACTTTTCAGAAACGTCATTGTCACATTTTCAGCCTCGGCTCTCGTCCTTGAGCCAACCTCCGTCCGATGGTCGCTTTACTCATCGCCGACGACCGGACACCACGATCGTATCTTGAATTGCATGATCCTGAATCAACGACGGTAGAGCAAGTCATCAACATCAACGATGATGTCGATAGTCACCCATAAACAAGGCCATCTAATCACCTCCAAACCTCGGGACTACCCTCGGGAAACCACAGCTGAATCGGGACCACCGAACCTTCGCATTCACCAGCAAGCTTTGCGCCGTATTCATCAACCAGACGATCGAGGCCCAGTTACGATCGGCCCGCCCACCCGAGGAACACCCTCTACAACTCACTCATCGCCGTCCCATAAAGGCCTCCTTAGAAACTCACCGTGAACAAGAGCCGAGGTCCAGCCTAATCCGGCATTCATCTCGTCCCCGTATTCCACCAGAGGGGTTCACACACACACTCATACAACCTGCCAGCAACAAACCCTCTGCGCCTCGCAGTCGCAGTCGCGCTTCGTTGCAACTACCCCTCCCCTCCAGCAAGCCTACGCAATCCTCCCTAATGCGCGCCCAAACCCTCCCTCTCAAAACGTAATCAAACTTACGACGAACTCTTTTGCGTTCCTCACCACATTAGCAAACCAAGCCGTCGCCGAGCTTAATCCCACCACAAAGAAGGAAGGTCCTGCTCCTATCGCCGTGAACCTTGCGCGAAGCCGAGGGACTTTACATAAGGTACGGCAAAAGGAGCTCTGGCCTCCCACCCTCCCGCGCAAGATGCGACGAACTTTACAGAGAGCTCTCGACCTCGGCTGTTTGAGAATTGTCCGCCAATGCAAGGCAGATTCGAATCAAAACCGCCCAAACCACGAATCTTGATTATGTCGAAAAGTGAGTACCAAGCTTGAGGGTGTATGGCGTTTACCACCCCTCCTCTATCACCACCACCACCACCACCACCACCACCACCACCACCACCTTCTCCCCTCGTTTTCGTACAGATGTCAGTGAAGAACTTCTGCCCCCTCCACCGGCTTGGCATGGAGCCGAAAAGTCCACGGAGCCGTCCGCCTCCAGCTCCGCGGACGTCCGCGGAAGGAGAAGAGGGAGAACGGCATCGTCTCCTACGTGTTTCGGCCGAGAAGTTTCTTGTCCGAAATGCATCTGGGAGGTTACGCTCTTTCAGGATTTCGTTTCGTTGTCGTAAACTG